ATCTGATTAGTGGTTGTGGACGAAGAATTGCTAATTAGTAGAATTTTTTGGGGTTTTGAGTCAACTGTTCTGGATATATCTGTTGGGGCTTATGCTTATCATGGAGTAATTTTTTGCAATTGAAGATTGGCTACATAAATGTTATTGTGTCATAAGTGTTGGCTTTGAAATGCTTGCAACTTGTTTACTTTTCCAATCATTATGATGTTTAGGGTTTGGTATTTGTGATTATTGCTGAGGGGTCACTAGCCCTGGTTACTTATGATTTGTCTGTAATTCTAGTTTTGGTCTTTTCATTTGAGATTCCTAAAAAAAAATTGGGGGCTTTAGCTTTTAGGCTCAAGTACTTTGTGATAGTGCTTACTAGGGTTTGACGAGAGTGCTTTGGTTGTTGCATTGTTATTCTGTTTTATGAGCAGCTAATAATGCTACTCTTTGAGACTTGCGTGTGTTGCGATTTGTTTTTAAGAATGGATGCAGCAGTTCGCATGTACTACCCGTATGTTATTTATAACATGTAATGCCTTTTAGTGAATCTTTGATTGATAGTCATGTATAGGGTGTTTCTCGACATAACTATAGAGGCACATCCCATTTTGTTCCCTTCAAGTTGGATTTAGCCGATCTGTATTTAGTTTAAACTTATGAAGTATGGATACAAAAACACCACTTCAAGGATATGTTGTTAGAGAAAATCTTAAAATAAAAGGGCACGGACATGACGAGGAAATGCTTCAGATAAATCTGTGTTTTATGTATGAAAATATGTTGCTTATCGCTACAAATGTATGGAAAAAGTTGTTTTATAAAAAGAAAATTGTATATCTGTTATGTAAAAGTGGATACCCACACTTTTGGCATAAAGAGAGATTGTATGGGTGGATTTGAGTTATGTAGGGACTTGATTTACATATGAGTGTCTGTTGGTGATGAGTCCACAGGTTGGAGGTGGTGGAGTCATTTAATGAAAATTTGAAGGACGGAGTAGGAAAAAAAAAATATATCGAGGGTAGAAATATCATTTGAGCTGTCAAAATATCACTTACAAACTTATGTGTTTACTCAAACAGAATCTTAGTGCCACGTACGATACATGCAAAGTTTTAGTGTCACAAGTCACAATGAAGGATGTGTAACCACCTCAAAATAAAAGGATGTCCTATGTAGTTACCCCTAGTTAATTAGTCCTAATCATTAGTTACCTATGGTGCACATAGAAACCATCCTTCCTGGATCCTTTGTGAAAACATTTAATATTTTACTTTTGTAAACTGATTGTCATGTATAGACCTTTAAAAATTAGTCTTGGCAATTATATTTTTAACATACTATAAGTTTTTGTACCTCAAATTCTAAGCTTTCTTAATCACTCATTGGCAAAGCTCTGTTTGGTTAGAAAGAAATTGAAGATAGAAAGTAAAAATGGTAGAAAGTGAAGTGAAAGAAAGGAAATGGAAAGGAAAATTTATTTTCTTGTATGCATTTGATTATAATAAAAAGTTTGGTAGAAAAATTGATGTAAGTACTAATTTATCCTTATCATATCAATCTAAGACATAAACAATGATTAGAAATTACAATCTAGACACAACGGATAAAAAGTCAGTAATGTAAGTTACTAACCCAATGATCAACACAATAGTTGTTATCAACATTTAGTGCAAAGCAAACCAAAGATAGCTATATATATATATATGAGTTCACTAAACATAATATATATGCTATACAAATCTATTAAATACACTTTAAACACAATATGATCAGGTGAAAGTTGGACNTATATATATATATGAGTTCACTAAACATAATATATATGCTATACAAATCTATTAAATACACTTTAAACACAATATGATCAGGTGAAAGTTGGACAAATTTCAACACAACACTACTTAAACATAACACAAATAAGACCTATGTACAACTTTAGTTCAATTGATTAAAAAAAAAAAGCAACATCTGTAGGCAAAATATCTAATGCAATTTTGAATGATATTTTTAAACACGACTCTTGAATTCGATACAAATTTAACTAAACACGATATAAGTTCACTAAACACAATTTATATGTGATACAAATCAATTAAATACGTTTTAAACACGATCTGGTTAGGTGTAGGTTGGACAAATTTCAACACAATATTATTTACCATAATTATTAGTATCGTACGATACGTGATACGTATCATAAGATACGTCACGATATATAGGTAAAATGATACAAATCAGAGTTTTGTATCGTGTTTGCATAATATCTGATACACGATAGGTTTTTATGATACGATATGTATCGATCGATACAAATGATACGCGAAGTCTTTGTTTTATTTTTTTGCACCAAATCGTTGACAGCCTCAGAGAATAGAGAAAATGTCAAAGAAAAGGCAAGAGATAAAGACAATAATTACCAAACCCACAAATCAGTAAAAACACCCAAGCAAAAACAAACTAAACAAATTTTTGAAATTAGAAAAAATAGCAACACTAACCGAATAAAATCCTAGATTGATTTTTAACACTAACTTATTAGTCTCATGATCTCTTTCTCTCTCACGATCTCTCTCTCTGTCTCAAAATCTCTCTCTTCATCGCTGTGAGCTGCGATCACGAGGTACCAGCCACCAGGTATGTTCTTCTTCTTCTCCTCTCTCTTTCTCCGACACCGGCATCGCCTCTCGCCTTTGAGGTCGCCTCTCGCCTCTTCTCTCTTCTCTCAGCTTTTGTGTGTGCGTTCGTGGGTCACAAGACTCACGGTTTTTTTTTTGTTATAAGTATACAAAATTACATTTAATACCCCATTACATTATAACTTTTTACTTTTAAGTATATATAAGGACCATTAATTTAATTTGATACCTTTTATTATTTTTTTAATATTAGTAAATTATATTGGTGACTTGAATAATAGGTGGAATATTAATGAAATGTTATGTTTTTATAAGTGTTTGATTTTTTTTCAAAAACATATATATTTTATTATTAATTATTTAAAATTGCGTCGTATCTTATGATACACGTACACGATATGATACGATACACTATTTTTAAAAAACGATACACCTTCCAATACATGATTTAACAACTATGCTACTTACACATAACATGAATAATAAAAATAACACTAATAAGACCCATTTACAACTCTAGTCAATTGATTTAAAAAAAGGCTAACATTTGTAACCAAAATATCTAATTCTTTTTTATTTTGTTGTGATCAAAATATTTAATTTCTTCTCATGTGAACAAAAAAAATTTCTTGCATAATTTGCCGGAAATGAAAGCAGCTGCTTGCAAGAAAATTTGGTTGTCACGGAAAAAAAAAACTTTCTTGAGAAACCATATTTCTATCTAATCAAACTTATGAAAAGTTGTGTTTTTTTTCCTTTTCTTGCACTTTCCCGACTTACTTGCTAAACAAATAGAGCGTGTGTACAAGAGGTGTTAGCGTGCATTAGACATAAAAAATTTATCGTTTCATTACAAACATGAGGTATAGGAGTATTGTGTACATGGCAAAAAATGTCAATAAAATTAAGGGTGTGTGTTGGTAACTTTTTATGTTTTTAGTTTTCAAAAAAAAAAAAAATAGAAATAGTTTTTGTTTTTTTGTGGTAAAAAATTAAACAAAAAACTTCTTTGGTGGTTGTTTTTGTTTGAAAATTTAGGAAAACTAAAACACAACTTGTTTGGTGACCACTTTAATTTATTTCATAATGAGTTATGATATATTACTTTTCTGCTAAAAGAAAAAGAAGAAACTAAACCCTAAAGAAGTTTCAAGATTTACTCAACGCCCATTGATCATCAGCGTGCCCATTTGAATGCTGCCATCAATTGTTTACTGCCTTCTTAGACATATACACCATATCATCAATTGTTTTCTTCCATGTTGCTTCTAAAAAGGTACAACATCCTAGGTTTAAGGTCTAAACACACACATTTAAAACAGATTAAAGCTATATCCATACACAAACAAAGTTTCAGATTCAAGTTATATATAGGCACGCACACAATGAAAACATTAAAATTTAGATGACCAGTCTATATACAAACAGATCTGGCCCTATACATACAAAAAATATACACCTATATATAGGTCAGTAGGTGTATGGTATACACTGTAATGGATGTAAGAAAATATAGAAACACAGTGGAAGAAATGTATATATAGAAAATATACAAAATTAGATACACCATGAATATGGAGTGCTTGAATTCAAGAGAAAGAGACTCTGTTTGCATTGATCTTCACAGCACTCATAGAGATCAAAAATAGAAAAGGATAGAGGAGCAGAGAAGTGACGGCGAGGTCGAGGGTTAGGGTTTCACAGAGTGGTTTTTTATAGTTCCAAAAAATTGAGGCTTTTTTGTTGCTAATGGGGTTCGAAGGCTGGACCTCATTAAACTCCCCTTAGGCACACGTGTGTTTCCATTTTCCAAATGCAGTGTATTTTTTTTTGGGGGGGCCGGGGGGGGGGGTAAAAATTGAAAACAAAAACAAAACGGTTACCAAACGTAACTTAAGATTCAAAATGGTTACCAAACGTAACTTAAGTTTTTTTTTTCAGGTAAACACAGTTGGAGTGTTGTTAGATACATGTCTAGACTGTTCAATAAGTGTTGATGTTTGATATGGCTTTGACACTTTCTTGAAAGTGTCTCTTATGATTGAAAGATAAAATATAATATGCAAACTTTTTACCTTAATTAATGTAGTTTTTTGTTATTTCATTTGCTAGCCCCAACTTTTGCTATCGATAATCATGAGCTTGTTCATACACTACATTCAATATCAAAATGTTGTGAATTTTTTTAACTGCTTTGGTGAAGCAATTGGCTTCCTGGAAAAGTTTAGTTATCCCATTGGATGGTTTAATAATTTTCCAAGGGTTACGGACCCTATGATTATTGTTTGCTTGTTTGAATTATTTAATTTACTGTGTTGTATTTGGATATAGGATGGAAATGAAGTTTTCTTTAGGATCAAAAGAAGCACTCAAATGAAGAAGCTTATGAATGCATACTGTGATCGACAATCTGTGGATCTTAACTCCATTGCCTTCTTATTTGATGGACGCCGTCTTCGTGCAGAGCAGACTCCGGATGAGGTATTCTCTCTCTCTCTCTCTCTGTGGGTGGGTGGGTGTGCTAAATGAATGTGCATACGTGTGCACAGACACGCTTATACTTTCGGNTATTTGATGGACGCCGTCTTCGTGCAGAGCAGACTCCGGATGAGGTATTCTCTCTCTGTCTCTCTCTGTGGGTGGGTGGGTGTGCTAAATGAATGTGCATACGTGCGCACAGACACGCTTATACTTTCGTNTTCTCTCTCTCTCTCTCTCTGTGGGTGGGTGGGTGTGCTAAATGAATGTGCATACGTGTGCACAGACACGCTTATACTTTCGGTGGCGGAGCCACAGTGGGAGCACCGGCAATTTGAAAATTATTGGGGTCAACTTGATATTTTGTAAGATTTAAGATCTTTTAGAACTGGCTCCCACTAAAAAGTTTGTAAAAATTTAGAGATAATTTTATCTTTTTAAAAGTTGTTGGGATTCTTTGATAAATTTAAACATATGGTTAAAATCCTAAATTTGGAAATTTTCAATTATGGGTTACATTTTTGATTAAATTGTTTTGATTAGTTGGACTTGAACAACTTTCTTGTGATATATCAAATTGTTCTTCTATCTAAGTTTTGTTCAAATAGACATGTGATATATCGGATTTTTCTAAATTGTTTGTATTGAGGTTGTTCTGTATATTTTGTTCATTTATGATCCTTGTAAATTATGTGTTAAAGAATCGNCAATTATGGGTTACATTTTTGATTAAATTGTTTTGATTAGTTGGACTTGAACAACTTGCTTGTGATATATCAAATTGTTCTTCTATCTAAGTTTCGTTCTAATAGACATGTGATATATCGGATTTTTCTAAATTGTTGGTATTGAGGTTGTTCTGTATATTTTGTTCATTTATGATCCTTGTAAATTATGTGTTAAAGAATCAATCAACAATTAATTATTGAGCTTAACCCATCTTTATTCTGGTATAAAGGTTTTTTGTTGGGTTTCATAGATAACTTGATAGTGAACAGTATTTCTTCGAGAAGTAAAATAAATTTATTCCGAAATAAGGATTTTACAATATAGCTCTAGACACACCCAAGCAGGTACACACTTCGATAACGTCACACAGGACCCAACTTATAGAAGAGTAGCTTGACACACTTTAAGTCTATTAAAAAATTACAAATACTCTAGCTGCCCGAGGGATACAAAGNTCATAGATAACTTGATAGTGAACAGTATTTCTTCGAGAAGTAAAATAAATTTATTCCAAAATAAGGATATTACAATATAGCTCTAGACACACCCAAGCGGGTACACACTTCGATAACGTCACACAGGACCCAACTTATAGAAGAGTAGCTTGACACACTATAAGTCTATTAAAAAATTACAAATACTCTAGCTGCCCGAGGGATACAAAGTGCAAATAACTTTACAATATTACGGGACTATAAGAGATTTGTTATGTGATCCTTTTTTGTTGGCATTTTTTGCATTGTTCACAAATTGGTCGTGTTTTGAATTCACATTCTTTTAATAAAACTAACCTTCGGTTTCATAGTTTGACCACTCTAACAACATTTTGGCTCTACCCTGTTTACATGCCTGTCACAACTTCGTTTCTGTTTTGTTCTTCAGCTAGAGATGGAGGATGGCGATGAGATTGATGCCATGCTGCACCAAACTGGTGGCTCGACTGTTTGAGTAATGCTCAGGTTGTTTCTGCACACATTTAGAATTAAGTACCTGAAATTTGTGGACTTGAATGAGATGTTAAGCTATGCTAGATTAAGTTTTTATCGTAGTAGCAAACACTTGCTTATCATGTTTTGTGAACTCCAACTCTTCTGAGCCTTGGGGCAACTGCTTTCTTAAATTACAATGAGAATTGCATGTTTATATTGGTTGATTTTTATTACCATTGGATGTCAACATATGGTTTCACAATGAGAACCAGCACGCATGAACAGCAATAAATAATCAAAAAATTTGTGAAATCCTAGAATTAAAGTTAGCATGGTCACCTACCCACCTTGGACATATTCCAGGGTTATTTGAGTTGAAATGGGCATTATGTCTTGGTTTTTTTTTTTGGGTTTGCAAAACTCGACTGGTTGTGTAATATTGGCTTTTTTCGCGTTAGATAGTGAATAGTCTCTCATCCCCCCCGGGGGGGTATTATCCCTTTTTTCTCTGGAAAGGACCACCACCAACACTTGAGGACAACAGGGTAGCTAGCGTTCATCACTTGAGTCAAGTTTTTACTATGAGTCAGATTAAGATGGTTATTTGAAAATTCACTCTTATGCTTTGTGCTCGTGTCTTTGTCTCGTTCTGAAGATACTTCCAGTATGAACTGTAATTTTGTGATGGCAACTGTAAAACCCGAATGTAAGAGCTTTTCGTGTTGCGCACACACAAGAGAAGAAGTGACACAAAAAGTACATCGATCTGATTCCATAATTTGCTACGTTACGCAATGTTGAAGCCAGTCATTTATCGTCCAAGGATGAGGATAAGCCACAGTGGTACTCTGAACTACAACTGACTTGGGATGGTACGAAGCCATCGTTCTTGCATCTTTGGGTACTTACTTGCCTTTGAACTGACAGCCAAGTTGGTGGGGTTTTGAATTTTCCCATTATATGCTACTTCCCTCCACCATCCAAGTGGGAATAGATACCTGAGTCTGGAGACCATCAAAATGCTTATCTTTGCATTGCAGGGATCTTCGATTATATGGTAGCATAGTGTCATGAATTTCCCATTGGCTAGGTGGGGATGACATAATAGGTCTTATAAGATCTTGAGCGGTTCTCCTCCTAAAAATTTAAGTTTTTGAATTGTGAGGTTGTGACAAGTGGCATCAAAGTGGGACTCGGTGAGTAACAATTTTATCAGTTATGTGGATCCCTCGTTGGAGATATCGGGGCCAAGATAGGCTCGGGCCAGGTGGGCCCACTCACTCTAGGGGTGGAGCTGAATGCGATGTGGGTTTGGCATCTTCGGCTGGAGGAGAATTTCATGAATCCCACCTCAGTGAGGTAGGGGCATCATATGGACTTGTAAGATCTTGAGCAGTGCTTTTTCTAATAGTTTAGATTTGTGAAGTGCGATCGAGACCGTGACAAAAGGAACAGCAAGAGCAAGCAGAACTGAAATGATTTGGGTTTGTTTCACTTTTCCTATATAACCAAATTTGAATAGATTATACATGTTATTGTGGAGGGGGAAGCGAGTGGAGTTGACATTGCTACACTCAAATTTCTGACATAAAATATTTATATCCCAACATTTGGGGAAAACTTATGAGAAAAAAAAAATTAATATAATAAAGTAGTTTATAATTTAAATCTCAAAAAATAAATAAAATGATTTTTATTTTTCGCGGTTAAAATTGTTTTAAATTTTACTTTAAAAGTAATCTAACGACTAATATTAACACCCTAAATTTAATAGGAAAAATAGGTTTTTAAACATGTGTTTGGATTGACTTTTTAAAATTACTTTTAAAAATTATTTCTCATAAATATTTTTTAAAAAAATAATGTTTAAACCCGCTCTACTGCCACTACCATTGTCACCACCATCACTGGCATTGCCGCCACCGCCACCGCAACCATCGTTGTCATTGTCATTGTCACCACCACCACCCCCACCCCCACTACCCCTTCCACCACCATCGTCGTCGCCACCACCCCCACCGTTGCCACCATCGCCACGCCCACCACTGTCATCACCATCACCATTATTGTCGTTGTTGCCACGACCACCACCATCATTGCCACCACCACGGTTATTATCACGCACTATAACCATCACCGTCTTCTACCACTATCACTATCGCCCACCACCTCTAACACCCACTACAAACCGATGCTTAAATTTCTTTATCTTTTCTTTATATTTGTAATTTGATTTTGAATATGAATACAAATATGTTTATTGTTTATCATTTTTTTATTATTCTGTGCCTTCAGACACATACAATAACTAGTAAATAAATAAAAGAGTAAAAAACCTATGAAAAAACACCGGATTCAATTCAAAGAGCACTTGGCAGATGCAATTTATACATGTCTTGAAATATATGATGTCTAATACACTCTAGAGGGCGTTAAATTTTGTTTAATTATGTTACTCTATCCCCAGTGCCCCAAAAAAAAAAAATTCAAATGCATCACAATGTCATTGCTCATTCCTCTTTGGTACATAACTATAACGGATTAATGTGTATAATTTTAAATGTTAAGTAGATAAAGTGCTATTAACTGAAACCACATGATGGTAAAAAACAATTAACCCTATTCTTAATTGGTGAGAATCAACTTCATGCGTAAACAAGAATAGATAAAAGCTTTAATTCATACGCAAAACTCTCGTAGGCATTCATTCAACGATGCTGAGCCTAATTACATATGGGCTTACCGAAGTTTACGTGGGCCACATTTAAAACCAACAGATCATTAATTGGGTTGGAATTCAACCCAACTTCAAGCCCAGTCCGCCAACAACTGGCCGCTTAACATGAAGACCGCGTTCATAAATTAGGGTTACGATTCTTCTCTATATATACTCGTGTTCATCCACATCTTCCTGTGTACACTCTCAAACGGGTCATTCAGATCTGAGGGTTGTTGAAATTTTGAAGAGAGAGAAAAAATCAGATCAGGTCGGCTATTACTATTAAGTTTGGTCTTGATTTTATGATTTTTTGCCATGAAATTAATTATATTTTTGTTGTATTTGTTCTCGTGAATTTCCTATGAGGAAGAATTCCCATTGATAGGAAGTGCCGTATGACACTCCAAACCGCAGCGGCGCACGGCGGCCGCTTTTTCCCATCCCCCAACGTCAAAGTCTCTCGTAGCTTTGTTCATTGGCCAGGACTACGCGGTTCCGCCGTCACCGCTGTGTGCGTGATTTTAAACGGGTCTCTGAGGATCATTATGCATTTCTTTTATTTCTATATATATCTAGAGAGAGATACTGTGTGTTTTCTTGACCTTTTGGTGTCTTGAAGGTTCGATACTACATCGCCGGTAATCGATGAGCATTGACCGGCGATGCTACGATAGGATCGTATATATATGTAGGTATATGTGTGTGTGTGT